CAGTTTGAGTCTTTTATCTGTCACTTCGATATTAATGTCACAGTATTATGTTTCTGGAAAAATAGCATACATATGAGTCCCTCATAATTGGTTAATTGTTCAAATGATTTTCTCAAATGCCCTGAACTTTTTTCATCTCTAATGTGGAAGTAGTAATACCTACCTTGAATGGAGAATTTTTAAATGGAGAATTTTTAAAGATAACATGAAAAACTCTTAGCAAAATGGCATGCACAGTAAGGCCTCATTTCTTTTCTATACACATTTTCATTTCCCTTTGAATTAACAGAATGGCCTCAGAATTGGGAAGAAATCTCATTCTTATAAGGAGCATTGAGATTCTTTGAAATAATCAGTATAACTGATAATCTTGAAGATTCTCTTTCATAAAGGAAGCCTAAGGAGAATGTCGTCTTTGGGTATATACACAGCATGATACTTGCATGAAGGAACTGTGATGAAATTAAAGACTGTAATCTCTGGCTTCTAGTAGACAACACAGACATTGTCATCATGTATTCGAGTAATTTGGATTAGAAGCACATTACTTACGGAATATTGAAATATTTCAAGTTGAACTCTGGTTTGGTCATTCTATATTAATATACTAATTTCTAATTGCATCTAGTTCTTAATTCTTAGTGCCATATACATATCTGAGTCTATTAAATAAAAGCTTATAGGCTCATAGGATTGAAGTATTTCAGGTATCCCTTTTTCTTGCACCAGAATGTTTGTAATTTAATTGCTAAAATGAGGATATTTACAAAAATCTGTAATATAAAGATAGTGACTAAAGTGAGACCGAGGGCTTTGACTAAAAATGTCCAACTTTTAATTTTTCAGGTTTAAATATTAAGTGTAAAATGGAAAGTACTATTTTTTAAGGAGTGTTGGGGAAGAACCCCAACCTCATAGAGCATGACAGAGTAACTATACTCCAAAGGAAATGACTCAGCAGGCAAGCAAGCAGGCTGGCTTGCCACTGCTTTATAGGTGTGAGTGTAGACCAGGAGACTCAGTGGATCAGAGCCGAGAGTTTGTTCCTCACAGCAAACAGCAGGTGTTATTTGTTCCTATTTTAATCTTAATTATTTGACACTTGCCATTAACTGATAACATATGTCAATAAAATACTGCATTCAAGGGAGAAATGTCATTTCTATTAAGTATCATTTTTAGGAAGATCTGGCTTTTAAAATACGAGACTGAAGTTGAACAGAGCCTAGAACAGCTAATGCGATCAATCCCACTAGTTGTCTAGGTCTGTAGCCTCACAAAAGCCCTGCCAACTCACTATCTTTTAATGAATTACTTCCTTCAGTCAAAATAATTTTTCCAGTCCAGTTGTCTTCATCCAGCTACTTGCTCACTTTGAAGATTATTAGTTAACTCTCTACCAACTTCATGTTTTCAAGCAACTAACTGTTATCCTATTGACAATGTGGTGTATTTTTATACCTTTCTAAGTAATTCTCTACCCTTCTGCCATAAGGCACTCTGGAGCCATTTGGCTGTTTGTCTTCTGCTTTGGGGGCATCCATACTTGATTTTTTTTAATATATATATTTGTTTTTGTTTAAAATTTCTCTGAATTATACACAAAATCTGAAGAGCATTTCTTAATTTGGATTAATTCTGCCTCTATATTCTAGTTCTTAATAGCCCTCTATTCTGAAGAATGGGAAAACAGATTGGTTCTGAGAATGAATTATTTGTTGACTGTTTTAGAAAACAGATGTCTGTGGGGAAAGAGAGTGGTGTGTATTTTTAAAGCAAGGAGCATGTGAGAATTTTCATAAAATCTAAACTTTTTCCTTACACAAGGAAGACTATTACAGAGCAATTCTTATTTCCGTTTTTGGTTCTCGATCTCCTGTAGATGTCTCTTTGAGAAGACATGATCATTTAAGGATTACTTTCCTTTTTCAGCTTCTAAAAAGCCACATTTAAACTTACACGTTTCCTATAATTACTTTGTTTGAACTTGTAACCATCAGTAGTATTTCACATAGAGAAATGCAGAATCTACATAATCAAAATTATAAAAATAGTATAAACATAAAGTACAGGTGATCTGACACTGTTGCTTAAATTATTTTGCTAAAGGCCCTAAGCTTTTTTTCTCTTACCCAGGCATACAGGTATTCAATATTAGTGAGTGCTTTGTCCTTAATTTTCAGTAGATGGAAAAACAAAAGGATGAGATTCACCTGTAGAAGTTACAGGGAGATGTAGCAGCTTAGGTTGTTTTGTTTGTTTGTTTTTAAACATTGTAGTTGCTGTTCAAGATTCATGAATTTTTTGTTACAATTTATTTTGGTTTATAGTTTAAAGAAACTAAGCTGTTCAAACATGCCTTACAGTTGCTATCTTAATCTAAATTGTCTTGTTAGAGAAAATATTTGTGGGGTTTGAAGATTATATTACTTGAATGATAACATTTAAAAACAAACAAGCAAAGCATTTAATGCTTTTGGTTCCTGTGATATCTAAGAATTTTAGGTAGGGAAACGCTCTCTACTAAAATGACTCTCAAGTCTTGAATATAAACAGTATTATAATAATTTTTGTTCAGTAGCACTAAAGATTTTAGTATCCAAAATTTTACTTTATTTGCTATTATATAATACAGACTTCATGACATGGCTACACTCATACATAATATGAAAACAAACCATCACCCTCACTTCCACCCCCAGGTGTGAATATATTCGTTCTTTGGGTATGTGAAGTGGAAGATGGTGGGAGTAGAAATCAATCTTTATCCTCTGGTTCTTTGTTTCTCTCCTGTCTGCACAGTTCTGTCCATCACCGGATGCCCGTGGGTGGCAGCCATGTCCATCCTCTGTCCTGAGAATACTGCTTCTGAGTGCTCTCTTCTTCTAAATTCAGTTTACTGCTCTTCTGTTTTCTTCCACTATTCTTTTGAACAAGTTGATACTTTAATTCTACATTTATTTGAGATTTCTGTATTTTACCCAGATTGTTCATGAGAATAGAATTCTATCACTACCACTATCCTACCTACCCGCAGTTCCCCTAGTTCTTTCAAGAAATAACTTTTAAAAAATCGTATTTTGTTAAAAATCAAGTTACCAAGAATATAGTTGAAGAAGCATTAAATAAGAATATTTGACATACTGATATAATTAAGTATCCCAAAACTTCATAAATAGAATGATTTCTGTCTACTTGTAATATAACTTCATGAATATTGCATAGAGCTGTTTAACAAAATTTGACCTACCTGTGAAAGGTAGATAGAAATCAGAATTTAGCCTGTTGCATCAACAAAGAGCCACTGTGATTTTTTTCAAGATTTTAATATCTTAAAATTACTTTCTTTATTGCAGGTTGATTAGAGCACATGCATCTAATCGCTATGTTCTGATTTATGTAAAAGAAACTTTCAAAGAACATAATATATTTAATCAAAGCATTGGTACTGTTCCTTATAGATGTTTTTACCTTTGTTTAATCTTCATGTACTTTTTAAGACATTTCACCACCTGTTCCTTCCCCTTGTGGGGATAAGGAAGTGGCAGTTAAAGCTTTGCAAGCCCAACACATTTCCCTATCCCACATGTTAAAGTTGGTTTCTGAGTAAGAACTAGAACATATTTTTGTTTGATAATGTTACAGGTTAAAAACTTACAAGAACTTCTGTGTATGGTAGTTCAATTAACAGGGTGTAAACAAAATTAGATATGAAGAAAAACACCAGAATTCAGTGCATAAAACCAAAAGCTAAGAGTCCAAGAATTCTCCCATTCAAATTATCACAGCTCTCAAGCAGAAATAAAATACTAACACCCAGATAAAGAAAACTAAAATGGAATTTAATGTTAGTGTCATATACCAAGATTAAGTTGGACTACATGTAACAGAGAAGCCCAAAATAATGGTGACTTCAAACAGGATGGGAGTTTTTCTCTCAAAAACATCCAAAGTGGATAGTCTGGAGCTGACAGTGGCTTCAGTGTCCTCAGGGACCCAGCCAGACTCTACCATCCTCAGCTACCATGTCAAGGTTAGCTTCTGGTCCCCTGTGACTCTCAAACTCCAGTCATCACTGGGCTGTCAGAGAAGGGTGGGGACTACAGATGAGAGGATATTTTCGTAGAGTCATCTCCCTTTAAACTAAGTCTTCCTAGATGGCTTGCAACATTCTGCCTGCATCTTGTTAGCCTGACAATTAGTCACACGACCACATGAAACTGAAGGAAGCTGGGAGATGTTAATTTTCTGATTTCAAAATGTATATATCAAACCACCTTAAATATGTACAGTATTTTGTCAACTGTACTTCAATAAATTGGAAGGAAAAATGGCTTAGAGGCCAGGAAAACCTCATTGTAGAAAATACAAATTGACAGTTTAAAAGAAATCTGAATTTTATTAACTCCAAAGACTTCCATTTGGAGCTATGGGGTAATGCACATTAGAAAATTTTACACCTTAACTGATTACTTAGTTACCATGTAGTTATTATATGGGTTCAATTATAATGATTCTTTTTTTCTCCTTTTCTGATTCTGTATTTGGCCCGTATTGTTACAATATGTCTTGTAGACCGATGTAGTCTATTCATTGACATGAAGAAGCCAAGACCCTGGCGGGGAAGGGCTAAGGCATTACTGATTTAATTTTGTTGTCTAATATAACTAATAATTAACCATTTTTAAGAGCATTAAAAAGAGTTCAAAACAAAACAGAATTAGCAAAAACATTGCTGCGATCTGTGACACCCCTTTGGTAGTGTTGGCTTGTGCATATTATTAGCTAGAGAATGATGGCGACCAGAAGCCCAGGCCTATGTCTGTGTTAGGTTGACAAGTGCTCTGTTGTTTTGAAACTCATGGGAGGGGATTTATGTAAATTCAGGCTGCAAAGTGGTTCTCAGATGTTATGTTCTGATACTTTCTGATTAATTGATAATTTTTCATATTTTTTTTTTTACAAAGCCTGTGACAGCCAGCCATCTCTCTTCCTTGCAGGACAGAGGTCTGCTTAAGGCAGCCCCTTCAGGATGAACTTCCTTTCTTTGAGAAGCCCCCAAGCAGGCAGTTTTCCTTACCAAACCTATCTCCAGAAAAGCCTCAACTGAAGACACCACTGGCGAATGAGGAAGCACTGCAGAAGATCTGTGCTCTTGAAAATGAACTTGCTGCTCTGAGAGCTCAGATTGCCAAAATTGTGACCCTGCAAGAGCAGCACAATCTCACTGCAGGTCTGTAAGTCCTACATTTGTTTTAACCAAGCAAACTGGAAATCAGAACAATGTCACTAATTTTAAAATTTATTAGCAAGTAAGAAGAACCATTGGGGTTGTTAGAAAACCAAGGGTTAGTCCTCTTTGCATAGTCCAGGACTAGTTAAGTTTAAGTGGTTTGTTTTGAACAATCGATGCAATCAGAGTGGGAATATATTTGGAGAACACTGAAATTCCTGCAGTTGAATTGCTACTCAGGTAAACACTATGGGAAGCTTAGTTGTCTGTGATAATGGCACCAATATCAGACATGAGGTCATCTCACAACTGCCTGGGCAGGGCTGAGTGCTGCTTCCTAACCTACAAGTCCTTTCTACCTCCCTCTCCTGCTCTAAAATGGGGATAACCTTTGTTATGGAATTATTGTGGGAGGAAATGGCATAAAATAGATTTAGCACATACTGGCTGCTTATTAGTCATTTCTCTTGCTCAGAGTAGAAACAATTCAGGTCCTCTGACTCCTGGTCTAATACTGTTGCTTTTGTGTGGCACTGTCACTTTGGAGAAGAAACCATAGCCTTGAAATCCTAGTAGTTGTTTTTCCTAGTGTTGTTCTTGAGGCCGGGCTAGACTCAGTGTTAGCCAACTCTGTCTAAATTACTCTCAGCCACTTAGCTTGTGCTCCTGGAATTTAACGTAACCCAACAAGGAAACCTCACCGGCCAAGGTAGACAGGGCGAATGCACTCGGCACCAAATGCTTGGGTAATTGGTGTTACTTAAATGAAATTTGCGTGTAACTTTAAAAACCAAAAGTCCTTGCCCTTTTAACTTTAAATCGCATTTCTCTTTCTCTCCTGGCAGACTAGGAAAAGTGCTGTAAATAGTGTGATAATTTGGGGATTTATGGTAGGTGTTCTGTTTAAAATCTAAATCCCTGAGTAAAAACTTTTGCATCGAGTTCTCCCGAATCAATATAGTTTACCCAATTAAAAAACTCTAACTTCCAATTATGCAGAAAGATGAATTTTAAGGTCCATATAACTGCTTTAACTCTTTAATTTCCACTTTTTTTTTCTTTCAGACACATTCTAGTAAATGCAGGCTTTTAATGTTTAGGAAGTATTTTATGTAAATATACTTTAAATGAACCACAAATTTATCATAGTTTTTTTAAAAATTATAGTACTAAATTATCAAACTGTATATAATGTAGGTATTTATGCAACAGACTGCTATACATTTCATTTAAAAGTAGTTACAAACTGCGCCACAGTCAGACTTGAACATTTGATATCACAAAAACACTCCTGTTAAGTTAAATGGAACTTTTCCATCTGGAGTGTTTAGGATTAAATGATACAGTGAACTGAGATTGAGGCATTTAGATCCTAACCAAGTAACTGAAACTTCCTTTCTGCTTACATAACTGAGATTCTTTTTAAGGATAAGGTTTTCAGGCATATAAAAGTCTTTAACATAATTAAATTTATTTGCCTATTACCACCAGGATTAAAGATGATTTTTTCCTTATTTCTGTAGGTGATTTAGATCCTACCACACCTGTTACCACAGGACCACCCTCTGTCCCTCCACCTCCGCCCCCTCCGCCCCCACCCCTTCCACCAGCGGTCCACCAAAGCACATCTGCTATCGACCTGATCAGAGAGCGGAGAGAGAAAAAAACCCATGCTGGAAAGACTTTGGATAAGCATAGCCCAAAGAACCCCGATATGCCAAATATGCTGGAGATCCTTAAAGACATGAACAGTGTAAAACTTCGGTCAGTAAAAAGGTGAGGATGCGTTTACCTTTTCTCACGTCCCTCATTTTTTAATGTCGTAAAACAAAGTACTGGGCTTCTTGAGAACTTTATTTTAATTCTAAGTTTTTAATTTTAAAAAGATGGGCTCTAGTGGCTCCTATACATAGTTAATTAAGAGATTGGCAAAATAAACAGCTCCAGGTCACTTTTTGAAGTCTTCCTTGTCAGTCATTCAGTAAAGCTAGGGTGGTGGTCACTAGCCTTGTGGAGAATGGAACCGTAATTGCCTGAAAAAGGGTGAAATCATTGCTCTTACTGAGCCTTCAATCTGGGGTTTCCATCTTGCTGCCATCAGTGTTTATCAGTTTATGTTGATATCTGTGATGCTAGGGAAGTGCTGTCAGCACACTGAACTGTCCTTGGTTTCTGTTCACTTCTCTAAGGTCAGAACAAGCTATAAAGCCCAAACCAGTGGATGCTACTGACCCTGCTGCCCTCATAGCAGAGGCTCTGAAAAAGAAGTTTGCTTACCGGTATCGAAGTGATAGCCAGGGTGAAGCTGAAAAAGGAATTCCAAAGTCTGCATCAGAGGCCGCCTCAGAAACAGTGTTGGTGAGTATTAGAGCAGAGCTCTCTCCCAGGACCATGTAGCACTTCATGCCATTGCTGAGCACCTACGTTTTACAAGATCTGTCAGCTGTATCCGCTGCCAGATTCAAAAGGATGTTCTACAGAAGAGAATAAAGGAGAAAGCAAAAGTTAATCCTGGTTTTACTACTTAATATCTGCAATGGTAAATTTTCCATGCTGTGTTTTATATTTAAGCATAATAAAGTCAGATTTATAGGTTGTGACACAGAAATTAAAGGAACGATCACTTTTCTCTTAGGGGCACCCTGTGAAAGTCTTCGGAAGAGGGTGAAATTTCACTTGGGTCTCGCAGGGTGTGGGCCAGGTTTAGGTGGAGACCGAGCTGATTTCCTGGAAGCTCTTATCCTTAATTTACACATTCTTTCTATTCAGGTTACTGTCATGGGAGATACGTAATTCAGAGGCAGATATTTTAGAAATTTTTAGCTTCTTTGAAACTTTTTAGACATTAAAAAAGCTTTGGGGTTCTTTTACTCAGAGGAGTAAAAGTGGACTAGGCTAGGGTCTTGCTAATGATTGTAGTTCTTTAGGAAATAATTTGGTTACTTCTTTGCCTTTCATTCTGGTGATGTGTCTGTCATGTTTATAATAACCTGTCACTTATAAAGTTTTCATATTATCTGGCGCCTCGGTTTTTCATATAGAACATGCCAGTCTTTTGATCCACGATTGTAGAGGGGCACATCATCATTATTATATGAATCATTACCTTTATACTTTTTGTTTCTTTTCTAGTTTGGGCCACACATGTTGAAGTCTACAGGAAAAATGAAAGCTTTAATTGAAAATGTTTCAAGTTCCTAAGAGACAAGGAGCCAAGAAGGACTATCCTGGTTCAGCGGTTGGTTTGTTAGAGCTGTTTGGCTAGTAGAAATCAACACTATTTAGTAAATACTTGAATTTAGTATTCATTAGTCTCCTTTTAAATCTAATTATTCTAAAATTTGTGCTTTTATGAGGTCAGTTCTGAAGTTTTCCAGAACATACATGTTTTTAATGTGTAGTCAGGACAATTAGGATTCCAATCAGAATGAAGAAGGGACAGTTCTAGATGTGAGTTTTTAATAACACTAGTTTACCTGTACAAGTGTTCTAGATGCATGTTTGGATATAAAACAGGGTACTGTTATCGTTCATTTTCTGTGATCATTTACTATTCAGTGATGAAGAGCTGGCATCACAGTTTGTTGGAGTGAAATCTTACCTTGAACAGAACTTTTGATTCTCTCATTTTCTTTGCAATGGAGTTTACAAAGGAAAGTCAGCGACCATGAAAGCCACACTTTCACCTCGGTGCTGCCAGTTCTGAGGAAGAAAATGTAGTTTTCAAATAATGAGGAAACAAATTATTGAATTAAATCTGTTTTTAAGTAAAAACCAGAATGTATCCTTATCTTTCACTTTAATAAATGGCATCATAAAGACGACTTGTTGCTAAGTTGATACTTCTGGAAATTATCGGGATAATAAGTTTTAAAAATTTTTTAGTATTGGTCAAAGTAGTAGCTTTATAATGAAATACTGAATCGGTGAATTTCCTACAAGCCATTCATCACTGGTCAGAATGCTATTCTCGAGTTACATTATGCAACATCTTAGGTGTTATCAGTGAGCGGAGAACTGCCTTTCTTATCTAGGACTTTGAATTTTTATAAGTGATCATTTTTAAATACTTGATAAATCCATGATTTTTCTATATTTGTTAAACTCAGCTATAGTTAATGCCACAATCCTCTACCATGAATAAATAGCTAGATTTGTTATTTAAATCTAGTTTAAAAAGTTGTATTTCCTGGCATGGGGATTGGGAGATGGGAATAGTAGATAGACATTTACTTTTAAGTTATTGAAAATATGTGCAATGTTCTAGATATTAGCAAATATTAGTTAATTTACATGGTTCGGTCATTCATCTTAAATTTGAACTGTGGCTTTGTTGATGTACATTGTTTCTCATTGTTTTTTATATGGTATAAAAGAAACTCATATTTGTATCAGTATTAAGTTTTGGCGAGTGCTCCAATATAAGGAAGTTAATTACTGATTTGAAATAAACATACAGGTTTAATGGTCAAAAGTTTGCTTTAAGTAGATTCTTTTATATTGCACATGTAGCTTAAGAATACTTTGCTTTTCATTTTTCTCAGTTTCTGGTTCTCACATCCCTGAAGCGAAAGATCTTAAAAACAGTTAACCTCTGCATTTTTTGTATAGCTGAGGCTTAAATATAATTGATATAATGTTCTGTCTGCTATGATTCTCACTAGTCCAGGGATACACTATGCGTACATAGTGTGAGTCAGCACTGGACTTGTAGTTACACATGGTCTGTGGATGTGATCCTGGCAAAGTCATACCTGTTTTTAAAATGGGGACACCACTCAGCTCAGATCGTCGAGGATTAAATGGAATACAGACTTTGAACATTCTATGAACACTAGAGTGCTAGTAAGTTATTACTTACATTATTTTACACGAGCTCACTGTAGTTTCTAGCAGACTGGTCTCTCCCAGGGTACGTGGTTGGTCCCTGACACCTACACAGGCTTGGGGCTGCATGGCAGGGCTTAGTCTTTAGTTCTGGCTGTCTCCCCAGTCACAGGCTCTTCTGTCCTCTTGCTGCATTAACAGTTTCTGTTAAGGCTAAGTGGTGAAGAATATCACACAGGTGACAGCTACCAAAAACAAATACTTTACAAAAACTATCTTTCTGATAATCTACCCCCTGGTTAGAAGCCAGCAGATAAAAGTTTAAACTTTCAGGAGTTAACCCAGTAAAGTCAGCTATGGGATTGTCAGGCAGAACAAGACACTTGGCTTTAAGACAGAGTATCATCATTTCTGTTGTCACAGTATTTCTGAGGAGCATTTGGCCACTCCCAAGTCCATTCCCCTTCTCAAACTAGAGTCAACATTCTTCTCAGCTACCCTTTGTAAACTTTGTAAGCAGGCTCGTTCTGTACCGGTATTAGTGCGGCAGCATATCCAAGTAAGAGTCCAGGAATCGTTCATGTTTCCTTCTGACACGGCTGTCCTTAATCCACTTCATAGGGGCTAGAAGCCCTAATGTTCCTCAGCTGGAGCTTCTCAAACCTTCCTCCTCTGGTAGATTCTCCAGCCTTTTCCAAAGGTCACAGAGAACTCTTTCCATAAGATTAGAGAAGGACGTGAGGGTCATGTAGACATTCCCAGGAAGGTGAATGATAACAGCGCCTCCCGAACAGCCAGACTACTACAGGGCAGTCCCTTGCAGAGAAAGGCCAAACTCTTCATAACCGGACTTTTACTGGAGGTGTGAAAAGTCTGCTGCTACCCAGTGGCCATTCCTGTTCATTAGCCAGTCAGGCTTTTTTCCAAAGGGACAAAAGATGAGAACTAGACTGTGGTTAGGAAGTCATCTGTGATACTGGTTAGCAACAAGGGTAGAGAAGTACCTTGGGGACCAGGTTATCTAAATCCTCCTCAACGCAACTCATAAGGCAAACGGCCCAGCTCCGGACCCGCCGCCTTCCCTCCTGCAGGACGGAGCACCTAGTAATGCGCGGAAGGTTGGTGACCGATAAGCTGGTCCAATCAGACCCTACCCCAGGAATATGCATTAGAAACCTGGAGAGAGAGGGGGCAGTTCTTAATCTGGAGATCAAGTAAGGATGTCATAGGTACAACTAACCTGAGCAGTTTAGACAAAACAGATCATGAGGAAACGAATTAGGTGATAGATTTGACACTGATACGTGTCAATACATTATTTCACTTTTAAGAAACAGACGTTTTACAGGTTAGGAAGCCACTCAAGATTAGGTAACTTGCCCAGGGACCCACAACTAATACATGACAAAAGATCCCAACCCAGGTCTGTCTAGCGGTAAAGACAGCGCTATTAAAAACACTAGGTTACATGCACTGCCTTTCTGAGGCAGAGGGGAGAGGAGGAGCAGGAGTGGCCGGGGTGGGGTGGGGTGGGGTGGCGGAATAAGCAAATGCAGCAAGAAGCTGAGACCCCAGGTTCTTTCCCCACAGCCCTCACAAGGTTTGTCACCATCGTCATGAACACGAATCTTCATGATAAAGGCCCCAGTTAACCTGAAGTTAATCTGAATGAGTCCCTATAACAGAAAAGGCTGACCCCCAAGCTTGTGATGATTCTTAAATGGAAATTCAACAGTTCTGTTTTCTTGCAAATGTTCAGCTAGACTCTCTTTAAGAAGATATTTTCCTTCCAAAAGTTTATATACGTAACTTTTATAAATTTTAGCTAAAATAAAGGAACTTGGATATCTATCATGAGGCCTCCAGATTCTTTATAGGATATGGCTCAACAACAGACTTAAAATTCATGCTCAGAGAATCTCACACAGTCAGCATCATGGTGGAGAACACCCCCTTTGTATCTTCAATTAACAACTAGCGGGACGTCTGTCACCCAACAAAGCTTCCTCTGCGAGATCCGGGGGTGATGCAGCTGAAGGTGGGCGTATTGGGAGGCGCAGGGAGGCAAGATGGGAAGGGCAGGGACCGCAGATGCTGCAGTGAGGCCGCGGCCCCAGTTGACGTGGTAGGCAGGGGCGGAGGAGTCAGAGTGCAGCCCCTACACTGTGGCCCAGTCGGGGTAAGGGGGGCGGATGCAGCACTGGCTCCCCACAATCTGTCTCCCTTCCCTGGGGACGGCGCAGGGCCCAGGAGCAGCAGCAGAGATGCACATCCAGCTCCTAACCAGGAAACCAGGTGACAGCGTGGTGGGTTCGCGAAGCCGGCTCCCCCCACCTGCCCCGTCCTCCACCAGGTGGTGCCCCAAGACCCAGGCGACACGCATAGCAGGGACAGCCCCCCACTGCGGAGGGTGCAAGTAGCACAGGTGAAAGAGAACAAAAACTTGGCTATAGCACCATCTACTGGTGCTATGAAAACAAAGACCTCCAACTCACTACTTCGCATGCACAGAGACAACATATCAAGCACAATGGACAACCAAGGTAACAAAGAAAATGACAATTCTCCAGAAACCGAACTCAAATTCATGACAGACTCATCTAAATGATACGAGTTCAAAATCTCAGTCATGAACAAACTCAATTAATTACATGCAAGAACACTCAGGCAATGCAATGAGCTCAAGAATAAAATTAACAGAAGGAGCACTTTATCAAAGAGATTAAAACTACAAAAAAAAAATTCTGGAACTGAAGAACTCAAAAAATGAGATGAACGCATCAGAAAGCACTGGAAACAGCAAACAGTACGGAAGAGAATTAATGAACTAAAACATCCGTTCTAAAACCCCCTCGACGCCTTGAATTCATTTTGCACAATATGAAAACCTGCCATATTGAACAAATACTTTTCACACTTCATTTTGTCACTCAAACATGTTGAGAACAGAGACCACGTTTCATAATTTTTAATACCTTTATTACATCCAGCGCAGTGCTCTGCACACAACCGGAACTTGGATATTGCTTACCACATAACTTCAGCACAGACAAACTAGTTTCAGTATAGTTTCTCTTAATGATAGACTGATAGCTAAAAAGGAAACACACAATTAAAACACCAAGTTACATGTTCAACAAACATTTACTGACGGCCCAATTTGCACCAGCCCTATTGTGAGCATGACGGACAAGATGGAGGCGGCCTGCTGTGTGCCCCTCCCCCATCAGCTCACCCTCACGTCTGGTCATTCCACCTACAGACCATGGACCCTTGGGGGCCTTCCACAAGACAGGCTGTCTGCAGATCCTTAGCTGGCAAGGACTGGCTCAGAGCAAGTCTCATATGTATCTATACGATCTTACGCTTCCAATGGATGCTGATGCTATGGTGATTAATGTGCACATTTCCTTAAAAGCATCACTGCAGAGTAGCTATCGGTCATTGTATATTTCCCCAAGCAGAAGATGCTGATTGGGAAGACATTTAAACAAAATATTTATACATTTATAAAAGTACACATGAAAACATTGTAAACATCTGAGGTGAAAGCTTTAAAGTTTTAAGAAAATTGAAAGTTTTAAGAGCCAAGAAATCACTTTGGAAAAAGAGACCCATAGGACTCTTCGAAGAATTACTAGCACCTCTAGCCTGTATGTCAGGTACAAATATATTTCCCAGATTTGCAAAGGACATAAAATATTTACTTATTTTATAAATATTTACTTATACAGAGAATCATTATGAATCATCACATTTACAGAGTTCAACTACTGACCGGAAACCAGAATTTTTTTCACTAGGCTAAGGCTTGCCAAAACTTTCTCTTTGAGGACCTTTACCCCAAGCAGACAAGATGCCCCCCACAACTAAGTGTTGGGCCTCGAGCCCCAATGGGCTGCTACATGCTCAACAATTCTTCGAAGTCTCCTGTTTTATCTTAAAAATTCATGTGAATTTTTCCATATTACTTATTTTAAATGTGATATAAATTACTGAACTACTCAATTTTTAAAGAAAATTAATGTTTTAAAATTAATATTTCAAGGAATATAGGTCATTTAAAATACAGAGCTATAGACTGTGATTCCTTCATATATGTAACAAAGAACAATAAGTTTATTGTATGTGTAGGCAGGAAGTGGGAGCAACACTGAGGCGTCTCCCCCCTGAGAATGGAAATAAGACAGTCCCTTGATATCAAACAATAAGAAACATCATGGATAAGAGAAGCAAGCAATCATACACAGGGAGATGGAGCCCAGGCAGGCTCAGATGAGACAAGGCTGCAGTACTGGCACATCTACTTGGAGCGCCAATGAGAAGCCGATGTGAAGCAGCAGCTACTGGCGGCGAATCTCTAGCATCATCCAAGGGAAGACGGTACCCTGGTCCATAAACATGAGTATCTATCTGCAGGGAGATGGAGGCATGAGACAACTTGCTTCTCATGCTCAGAATCCATGCTCACCAAGTAACCGGGTGATCATAATTTGGCTTCCCAAGAAGATCTGCCTAAAGGGAGAGAATGATTGATAGTTATATTTCACACTGTAGATTTAAACACTAACACTAAAAAACATCAGTTACTGTTGAGCTTGGCTAATGTGAATTTGCTACGAGATAGTTCCACTCTCCATGTGCTGACATACTAGGTCTGTGAGCTTGTACAGATCTTAGTCAGACCATGGAAGCATCTAATTTGCCAAGGTAATGCCACCTCAGGTAAGTGGCCAGTTGACCTTCCCCAGGTAACACTCAGCTCTGTTCTCAGCACACTTCTCTACCCACACCGTCCAATGTGGCAGCCACAAGCCACACGCAGACACGGGACAGTTGAGAAAAGTGGCTAGTGTGAATTGAGATATGCTAGAAGTGGAAAATACATATCAGATTTCAAACACTTTATACCAAAAAAAAATAATGTAAAACATCTCAATTTTTTAATAATGACTACATATTGAAATAACATATATATAGGAATAGATGGTATTAAAATGAATTCCGTTTCATTTTCCTTTTTTAAATGTGGCTATTAGAAAACAAAACCACTTATGTGGCTCGCATTATGTTTCTCCTGACCGTCACTCTTCTAGGCAAATGATGACAATGTCTGACTTTAAAGTCTGCCTTCTAAAGACAGAAGAGGCACTGTGGTACTTTTCTTATAGTGGTATCAACCAAGAAAAATGAAGTGCCATTTCTTATTACTTTAAAAAGACCAGTACAAGTAAGTATTTCAGTACGTGCAAAGGTGCAGTTTCCAGCTGTGGGACAAAAGGCTGTGGGGTCAAGAGGCCTGGGCTCGAGCGGGCCTCTACCGGGCATGAGTCAGGACCGAGCGAACTGCACGAGTCGGCCTCGGCCCGCTCACTCGGGAGGTACAAGTAGTCATCACCCCATCGGCCCGCGCCTGCACCCAGCTCTGCCTAAGTAACACCTGTGAGAGGATGCTGGAGCTGAGGAGCTACGTCTTTGCCTAGCAATTTAGCATTATGATTTCCAAAGGATTGAACTATAAGGTAAATATCAAAGATAAAAATGTAAAAAGATAAGTTTTTATTCATCAAAAGTTAACAGCAACAGGCACATATTAAAATGAGTTTGGCAAAGCCTTTACAAACGGCTTTACACTCAAGCTTTCTTCCAAGAAAATGGCTGTTGCAACAAACTGTAAACATAATTAATAAACAGTCTTTTACAGTAACAAGGGAAATACAAGTGAACTAAAAGAAAGCACCAGTTTCTCTTAAAACTAGATTACAGTTGTGCTTGCTATACATAAAACAATTTAAAACAAATTACAAAAGTGGAATGTTTTAAGTTTAAAATTAGTCCTTAGATTTTGTCCTAGAAAACATCTGTTCACATCAAAAGGCCCGTCAGAGGGTAACGTTTCATCAAAGGGAGGGACAAGAAAACAATGCACTTTTTTCCAAATCAAAACAAGAAGTTTGGTCACTTAGCTTTGTGCATAGTTTAAGGCAACTGGAGCGATCAGTTACAGCTGTCCTACCTTCCCCTCCCCCAAGTGTGGCTGCTCGTTATGTCACATTCTAAAATAAATAAAGTTTACATCTCAAATCCTCTCCCACATGGATAAATAGAACACATGCACAGTCATACATGCACGACATGCACGCAAACACGCGTCCATCCATTCACACACAACATACCTCTCACTCACGGCAGCGAAAGGGACTTTAGTACCTTGCTCTGAAGGACACACTTCCCCATCCCACTTTATTTCAGATTGGCAAATACCCTGAGCTGAGTATGGTGTTTTAAACATTCCACCTTTTCTTGCATGTGCAGGTCAAGTGTACAGTAGTGAAAACAACATGCAATGTCTTCACTGCAGAATCATAATACAGCTAGGACACTGGTGTTCTTCCCCTCCCGCCCCGAATTAAAAACAAATAGTTAAAAAAATTGCATTGCCAAACAGCAGTGGAGTGAAAGCTTGGCGGCACTCTATGATAAACGCACAGTTTCCAGTGCAAAAATAAAACTACAGCAAACGGGAGGCTCTGGTGGCATCCAAAGAAGAAAAAAAGGCAAACCAGGGGAGAAGAGCTGCAGTGGAAAGTTTGATCTTTAAAATTCTTAGTGGTTCCTTCACGATTATGCTCCAAGGCAAATGCAGAACCAGTACTTCAGAGCTGATTTGTAAACACTGAGTCTTGCCGGACGCAGCAGAGGCTGGGCCTTTCACATTTCCGTTTTCTCGGAGAGAACCTCGTGGAAGGTGCAGACACACAATGTTGCATCCGACCGGTTGAATTCCAAGAGATTTCTGCTCAAAGATTCAGTTCGAGCTTCATGGTTCCACGAAGAAATGCTCTATGAAACACGTGGCACGTGGCAGGACGTCCTTTGTTCCCCCTGCTGGGCTCTGGCATTCGAGGCTTCGTGTGAAAGCCAAATGCATATATTGCTGCTATATGTTCAGGTTTCAACTGAAAAGTGGGTTCCATTGACCCAACAGAGGAAATCTTGGAAATAAATAATGCTGGCATCATTCACTTGGAAACCTTGGCAGTCAAAGTAAGTTCTCTCACCTCAAGACCCCACTTCACATTTCTAAAAACCTCCGGGAGGCAGTCTGTCCCACTGATAGGGGGTTATGATAACCGATTTTCCTGAGGTAATAACTGTGAGTTCAACTCCTCAAACGCAGCATCAGTGTCCTCACTGCTGGCCTGTTCTCTCTGCAGTCCCTTCCAGCTGGCTTTATTCAGCCCCACGTGTCCAAGCATTGTCTGGGATAGCCTGCTGTTGGAAAACCGGGCCCATTCTGTGAATAAGGGCTCCACTAGGTAAGTCATAAAACCTTGGGAAAACGAGAGAGAAAGGTTATCAGCATATGCTCCAAACTTTATCTTTAAAACAGCTATATAGTGTTTATCCTTAAGTCCTATTTCAGTATTACTGAAACCTTATTTTTCAAAAGATTCTATATGGATGTGTCGTCACCTTAAATATTTCTGAAGAATCTGTTAATGTAACTCAGTGGAACTTTTTAAGTAAAAGTGAACTAACAACCCTATCAAACCTTTTCTGATGGTGCTTCGCAGCTGCAAAACCACATCCCCTTCCTTAAGCAAACACAGGGGCCCCACGGGCTCTGCGGATGGCAGGGAGCAACCAGTGTGAGGGGCCGGTCGATAAGACAGCTGGAGGCTAACAGGGGAGCCCTCCAAGGGTGAGGGAACAAGGCTTGAACTGAAGGGAACTAGGGGTGGTTCCCTGTTTTACACCCTCAGGGATGTAATCTTCACACCTGGTCATGATTACAATCGGCCATTCCATTCAACTCAGAATTTATGAAGTCAAAACTTGTGACAAAAATTGAGTCAAAAAAGAACGGAGATTCGTGTAAACCGTCATTAAAGCGAACATGAGAAGTGTGCCAGGGTCCTACTTTATAACAACTCGCATAACTGACCCCCCTTCATTCCCAGTCAGAAAAGGACCGTGAGTAAGTGCAGGGCCGTCTGCATCTTCAGGTTATACAGCACTCAAGTGAACACTGTACGGGATTTAAAGCCACAGAGTATCTTAACACTGGGGGGAAAGAAACCTCTCAGAAAATACCTTATCAATTAAATCATATGTATTAGGAAAAACAAATCACATTATCTTCCTACACGTTGATCTGTTAAGGACAGGGAAAATGTACATTCAAATTCTATCACTGCTCGTGTAAACCAGTTTTTAAAATTTTCAGCTTCTCCAAAATCTTTTTTTTCTCTGCGGCAGAGGACACGCTGACCACAGACAACACAAGTTCCATTTAGCCAACAACAACAACAGAAATCTCACTGAAATTAAAGTAGTCGGCATCCATTACTTTTATTCAAAAAAAGTCATCTATGGTCTGATGGTTGAGTTTTTTTAAGTGCACGAATTACAGTATCTGAAGTAGTTATGATATCAGAAACGAGGCTTCCTTTCATTTTTGTTCCCTTCACACATGTTGGCCGAGCCCCTACTCTATGCCACGCACTACCCTAGGGTGGCTAAGGGACAGAGCGGTGAGTAACACAGGAAGAGATCTGCCCCCAAGGGGCTCCGTCCTGGTGAGGTAATGGAAACATGTCATCATGGCAGTCGAGGAACACAGCAGTTTTTCGCCTTATACCAATCCATCAGGCTGGACCAGCCACCCAAAGCCCTGCCTTTGCCAGGTGCCACAGCTAAGGCACGAGCAGCTGAAGTTCTGTAGCCAAATGAAGAACCTCATTACCATAGGTTTTACATGATTCATCCTAATTGATTCTCCTGTTGTTCTAACTTGAGAGCTTTTGGATCCTGGGCCTCTAACAGCCAACAAATTAACTGTTACTTCTGGCTCTATGATAAGGTAAAATTTCTTTTAGGTCTAAAGTACCTGGTAAAAAATGAACAGGCCGGGGCCATGGACACAACCATACTGCACCCTCTCGAAGGGTAGGGCTCTATCCATCAGCTGCTCAACCACCTGTGGACCCATTTAACTGCACTAGCCCACACGCCTCTATCTTATCCTCACATCCCTCCGGAGGCCTTCTCAGAAGCCTTGCTTGTACCTACTACATGGTATTCTTGTTCACCGAAACTAGTATTCCTGTCGAAGAAGAGAACTGTATTAATCAAACATGGCTTCTATTTACTGACCTCCATGCCGGCTCCAAGTAATCACTGCTTGGCGTAGTATTTATTCTAATAGTCACACGATCTACCCTAGAAACAATCTTTCCAAGCCCCATGTTAGCTAGTATTTGATGTCAGAAAGACCAACCAACACCTGTTAACTGTATAAACTGGGAAAAGTGAAAAAGAGAACAGCCATACTTGTCTCCTGGGAAGGCTGTGTGGAGTCAGTGATGTCAACTATTGTTGTCACTTACCTCATCCCTGTCCCTCTAAAAACCCATCTGAGATGGACAGTTTAAGGGATCTAGTTCCCTTTCCCTTTTAAAACATTTCCATTTTTTAAAACTTCATTGGCAAGTTCTCCCATTAATCTGGGGAGTGATGTTCTCAGCCAAAAGCACATTTAAAGTGGCTGGAGTGAGTTTCCTGCCCGTTCACTACTTTCGGTTCCCTTTCGCCTGTATTTCACTTGTTCCTTTGCATTCGAAGATAATTCTACTTGAGAATTATCTGTATTTCAAAGCAGCTGTATTTCTTGCTTGTCCCACTGGCCTCCCCCGCTCTCCTGGCCAGTCGGCGCCCCTCACTTTCAGCCCAGTCCTCACGCCCACTCATCCTCTGCAGTCCAGCCAGTCACGGCCACTGACTCCTATGTGAGGGCCCCTGGCGACTGCGATGGAAGCAGCACAGGCCCCTTTTCAAAGTGCTATGCCACTGTACTGTGCTATCTTCTAAATTTCTAGAAACTTTCCTCTTTCTGAAGTTTGTGTATGCATTTCACTACGTTCAACCTAATTCTCAAAGGCCCTGTCCCGTGGCAGCCTGACCCTGCCTGGCCATTTCCTGCGCCAACAAGGTCATTCCTGACTGCCTTTCCCCCACCTCAAGGACTCTGCGGCTCACATCAGCTTTTCACAGCTTGCCAACCAATCAATGCTCTTATCTCTGTAGCTGTGTAGGAATGACAAGACTGTATAAAACTGCCTGTTATGTTACAATCGGGGCTCAGCTTTGGAGAAGAATCTGCTGAGCCAATGCCAGCATCAATAAACGCTGCTTCCTGCCTTGGTGTCCCGTCTCGCGGTTCGAGAATCCCGCAGCAGTTCAACACCAACTACCAAAACACCTTCGTCCTCGATACCTTTCTGAATCGCCCCTGCCACAGTCCCGGACCTTCCACTCGCCCAGCCCGTCTCTGCCAGCTGCAGCGGGCTGCACAGCCCTCAACCTTGGCACACTCCACTGCGCTTCCTCTTACGGCCACGCTCCGCTCCGAACAGCTCCCAGGTGCAGTGCTAGGCCTTAGGGCTACGCCGCCAAAGGCCAGGCGATGGCCTGACCGGGAGAGGCACGTCTGGTGCCCTGGGAGCCAGGAAGAGGACTGACTGATTCTGCCTGGAGAGACTGGAGGTGGTTTCTGGAGGACATGACGTTTGAGGTGGATCGCCAAGAAATGGGGAGTCTGAGGCAGATGGGAAGGACTGGCAGGACGGAGAGTGAAGGAGCTTCGCGGACTTGGGGGACACTGAAAGGTCCCGAGGTGCTGCAGGTGAATAAGGGGGTAAGAATGAAAGGACCATTCGAGGTCAGTTACAAGAGGCCTGTGCGAGACGGGGAGATCAGACTCACGCGACAGGCAGTGATAAGAGAGAAAAGCCAGCAACTGTGCACCATGGTCTTCACGCCATAATCATGCTCAGGGGGCACCTTCTTCATTTTGAAATGACAGTCCCAGAATTATGCAAAAGAAGCTTCCATACGGGCAAATAATGTATTCTTTCAGTCTTAGAAAGTTACTGCTACCTGCTCTGCAAAAATTATGCTTTTTATGACCTAAGATCAAATGAGAGTAAATTATAAGAGCCAAAAAAGGAAAAACAAGGGTAAAACTTTTTAATTATTTAAAAAAATAGAAATGAGCATAATTTTAATATTTTATATTTCAAACGTGTATCTCTTCCAGGCAAAATTAAAATCAGTCGCCTTTTTCTGACCAGCCTGTATCTCAGTTTGTATAGTTACCAATCTGGATGTTGGCAACAGACTCGGTCTGACGATCACACAGTGGACTCACACCCAAACGGTACTTCTTTTCTATATCACCTGGAAATTTAAAAACAAAAAAGAGTTCTTAATTAGTAGAACATACCGACTGGTTAAATATATAATTAAAGTCATCTAGCCTGTAAATTCCTTAGGAAAAACGTAACACATTTAATCCTCATGAGAGGACAACTTTTAAATTAGTCCTTTAAGTTATTCAAACACAGAAAAGGCTGCCGAGCTGATCCCCAGATTCGATGGTGGAGGGGGAAAAGTTTCACCAGGTGTCACCTCAACACTAACTCTGTCAGTGTTTTAATTTAAAACTTAGGTTTCTAAAAGGAAGGTGCGTGAAGTGAAGACCCTCAGTCCCTGTTTAAATTACGACAATGTCGCACACGTCCTGGCGTCTGGCCCCACCCAGGGGCCAGAGAAACCCTTCTGCTCAGCAGTTTCCAGCCTGACTGAGGTCCATTCATGAATGCATGCACCCACATCTGATGGTTCAAAAGAAAACTGTTAACTTTCAAAACAGACGTTCAATTTGTATATTATTGGTTATATGTACGTCTACTATAAATTGTCACCAAAAATATCAAACATCTACCGCTAAACTCCTTATTTTACCCATACGATGCTGAAAAAATGAACTGAATAAGTGCGTTGTCACCCAGCACGGTACTCGCCTTGATGGAAGAATTCCTCTGTCACTTTTTCACTCCACTGCTTGCTTAGCTCCCAGGTCCGACAGGGGTTACAAATATCAGCGCATTTCAAAGCCATCTAGCAAGCAAAATGTTAAAACTGTTTTAAGAAAAAAAAGGTAAAATTTCAACTGTGCTAAGTTTAAATACACTCTAACAGTGGTCAAATGAACACCTAAAAAAAACACAGTGCAACGGAAAATTGTTTTGTACATTAAGTTTATGATACTATTAGGTCTACCAATCATTTCTACAGAAATGCTGAAAGGCTGCTACCTTAATCACACGTGCTTGATAATACTGAAGAGCCAAGCGCAAGGACTGGATTAACCATAAAGCTACAAATAAATCATCCAATTCTCTTTCGTTTTTTAACGTGAGAACTTATTAAAGCAAAATGCTATTAGCTGACTGGCGCCCCAAACTTGCAAAAGTTGTTTTTGTCCGAGATCTTGAGCATGAAAAATATTAAAGCGATAGTGCTTTCCTAGGGAGCAGGCTCTCCTTCTGGAAAATATTTTACTAACGGAAGGAAACTCCATAGCTTTCTCTCAAGATTTAACCACGATGAAAGCTACACTAGAATATCTCATTTTCATTCTAACAGTCACCTGATTTACCCTAGAAATAAAATCCTTCCAAGTCCCATTTTACCTGTAAGACCAAATGCCTATGTCTGGCATCTTCTAGGTGTAAGTCACCTCTATCCAAATGGGACCTAAACAACGACAGATATTCATTTTGGCGACTGATGTCGGTGGCTAGTATCAAAGCACCTATCTGAGTCTCCATTTGTTGCCTGGAATTAGAAAAATATAGAGAGAAAATATAAGACTTTCAATTAAACAGTTAACTTCTTGATTTTCCTTCTTAAACTTAATACTCAAAGTTTTATAGAGCCCTAAGATATTCTAATTGCCATTCAACTTTAACCTATTACAAAAATGAAACTTTAAAGAATGCATCAAAAAAACCAAAATAGTCAAAACTAAAACCAAGAGAGCTTGTAGAAAAATACCAATATGCAAACATTCTAAAAAGAGTGCCTTTATTTTGCCATCCAAGGTGGAATTATTTGCCTAATACAGATATTATACATATATTTGCCTAAAATGTATATGATTGGTATATTGTTGGAGAAAATCCTTTGCTGGGATGTGCTGAGGGCAAACAGCTTTCATTTTTGTTTTGTTTTTTTTGGTGCCTGAGATCTGTAAGGCAGAAGGTTGGTTCAAATAGAGGAAGAGCCCATTCAACAACTCTCTCCTGTAGACATTTTAACTAAGATGCCTGATTAAATCCTGATGAAATTCCACCAAACGGTTTAATAAAATTTAGATTCAATTATATGTATAGCTGAACAGTTGTATAGGTAGTTGATAGCTGTATAAAATTGTATATGTATATTCAAGAATCAATCGGTTATCTACATGTCCATCCAAATTTTCTGGAAGGGAAAAGGTTACATGTTAATACAAATAACAAATACATAAAATATAAAAAACTGTCTCAACTCAAATAACAGGAGGGAAAAATTTGCCTTTAGTTTAAATGGGCCGTAGTAAACATTATCTTTGTATAATGATCAGTAAAGAGCTGTCAATAGAGTAACAGCTCACAATATCAAATATTAAATAAAACAAACCCTAAAGAGAACATGAAAGAATGCTATTGTGTAGTGTTCCTTATTTTCAGTTTTTATTTGTATTAAATCTGAGAATTCAACAGGTTCAATCATAAAGTACAAAACATGATAAAAAGTGAATAATGAAGCAAACTTTTAAATCTACTTTAAGGAAAAGAATTTATATATACAAGCACTGTAGGGTTTAAGCAATTTTTATATTTGTACTACAGCAAGAAACAATTTTACTTACCAGAAGTATTGTCATATCTCCAAATGGTATCCATGAATAAAGATTTAAAAAAATGAAAAGTAAAGTCCAGCTTTTTTCTTATGGTCATTACATAAAACACTTAAGTTTTTTTTGTTTGTTTGTTTTGTTTTGTTTTTAAATAAAGTTGTTTTAAATCATGAAAGGGAAAAAGGAAAGAACAATGACAATAACTTAAATTTTAATACCCAAACATATTTTTATGCCTCACCTTTTTCTAGAATTAGATGGTCTGTAACCACTAGCCGCATCCTTTCTCATCGAGGCATTCATTTTTAAAGGCTTTTTGTTTACGGACCAATGACATAACATTATGTTAACCACCATCACATTGAGCTCACTTACGTTAATGCTTTTTATTAGGCTTTCAAATGGCCTCCTTACTATTAATCTATTCTAAAAAATTAGTATTTTCTGTTCTTTCCATTCATTACTGTCTCCTATAGCTCCAGATGTGACTCCAGGACTATGCTACTGAGGATACAAAGCATTCTTTTTACTTATCAGTTTTTAAAACTTCCTGAAACAGATTTTAATCAATCCATTTATTACACAGACTGTTTACTTTCTATCTTATACTTAGAACTTAAGGTTTTATTCAGATTAGCGTAAAATGGAAATACATAATACTATTTACGTAAATGAGCAGTAAACTGACTGACCCACTGTGTTTTTGGAGTTAATTTTACAGTACTCAAATATATGGAATGATCTTTCCTAATAATTCACTACAAAATACTGACTATAATGCAGAATAGGTTTAAATTACTAAAATTTTGATATAAATTTGTATAATTCACCCATTAAATGTAACAAAAACTGAAAACTGTGGAACACCTGAACAATGTAATTTTTAAAACTTTATAAAATTATTTTACCAAGTTAATTTCCATAGTTCATAGCAAACTAAATTTGCCTTAATCCAACCTACCTGCTCTCTAATGGCATGTGTGAGAATAAACCGGATTCTCTCAATAATCCCACTGCAGATCTCCAGTGGTGATTTTCCAGTACTGAGGTATTCTACAAAAAAGGGCATATCTGAGTTATTTAATAAGCTTCTTTCTGAACATAATGATTTTGATGAAAAAAATATTAATGTGGTTAAAAGTCTAACATTTATTGAGAATTTGTTTACCGCTGTCATGTCTTAAAAACGTGTAACATTTTCTAGAATGCAAGAATATATTTTGATGATAAAACTGCACTAACCTTGTATAAAGTTGCCAAGTAATGGTTAGTTTTAATAAGGAAAGGTTGATTAACCCCTGGATGGTCCAGATCATGAGTGGCAGCTGCAATTAAGCTCAGCAAGACATCCCAAGGAGTTACAGAACTGGCAAGCTAGAGTTGACAAAAGAAAAATTAATTACAGACATATCTGAAATCTGCTCTGTACCATTACAACAGTTTTGAATTGGCCCCAAATGGTAGTGTTGACAGTCTCCTCCCACTTCGTGTTTTTCAGACTGTTCATCAAAGCCACCAAGCGCCCGCCACGTGCTGCCTCGTCACCGCAGTCCCTGACCTGAGCACACAGAGTTCAGAGAGCCCACCCTCGCACTGCCGCATTCGAACTAGCTTAGTTAACATGGCAGCTCAAGTATAAACCACCTTTCTGAGAAAGAATGGCTTTAAAACAAACATAGTTTGTGGATTTTTATTACTGTAGCTACTCCCAAACAGAGAAGACCTATATGAGGTTAAAAAATAAAATCACTGTGGTAATGTTTACTTAACATGAGATCTATCAACAGATTTTTAAAGGTATAATATACTAGAAGACTGAAGGTGTTTATTTATCAACAAATTGGTTATTGGATTTCAAATAAGAATCTGAAGTGCAAGGTTATTTCTGAGGTCCTAATTTAAGGAGGCTACTAAGGAAATCACAGAGAAGTTTACGTCAAGTCTGTAATAAAATCCTCTCCTAGTGGATGGACACGTTCAGACCAGTGTACACACTGAGGCATGTCAGAAAAGGCAACCTTTTAAATATTACTCTCAATAATCATTTCTAATTTTGCTTGATACAATAATCACAATAAAAGTTGATTATGTGATTGAAAGTTTTATCAAAAACAATTAACCTTGAGCACATCACCTGCGTTTCATAAATCACCTGTCATTTTCTGGCCAACTTCTATTCACCCTCCCTTATCCTTGGCCTCCAGTTCCCTCCCGAGCAAGTGACCAGCTTGTGTGCCCGCAGCGCTTCACGTGTCCTGCCGTAACAACACTGGGCAGAGCATACTTTTATTCAGCTTTCCATGAGGGTGACGCTCACTAAACTTGTATGACCTGGTGCCCTAACAGTAAAAACTGAACACACTGCCGTCGTAAGCGTACCTATAGGTTATGATGCTGAGCTAACGTATACTGCACCTGATAAAACAAGGGTGAAATCTTTAAAAATATGAGATAAAAAATAAATTAAGATTCAAATTCTAAATATTTTCTTTCTATGCCAGAATGGATCATTTCCCATGCTGCGTCATTCACCTCTGAAGGAAAAAAATAAATCACTAAGGGCTTGAATTCCCTAGAAAACTATAAGCTGTTTGAAAGGAGAGGATGCCTTTTTGTATTATCTGTAATTGGTACATGGAGCAGCTCAGTGAAGGGGAGAAGATGAAGAAATTACTTCCTCTTGAAGATATACAAAAGCATTTTAAAAATTACAAATTGTTTAAAGCTCTGCATACTGATCAGGAGGAACACTACACGGAGCAGCCTGCACGCAAAGCAACTCCCCTACCCAACAAATAAACGTGTGGGCATGGCTGTGGGTAGCTTACGAACACGGAATGATTTGAGCAAGTTGTGAAAGTGTTGCATTCTTATGCCAACTAAAACAGAGGGCAAGTGGCAGAAGGACAGACATACCTTAAAACCTTAAAGCTTTTTTTAGAATTCACTTTTAAGACTTTGAGTGATTCTACTTTTAAATGAAAACTATAATAAGGGAGAAGAGGGTTGTTTCATTTTAGGGCTTGGTGATTTTACCTATATCCTTAATTGAAGCTTTGACTAAGAGTTCACTGAATATGTTGATGAAAAGTGTTTAAAATAAGTACTATCAGAGCTGCAGGCTAAGACAGCGTTTCTATTCATTTTTATCCACTCCCCTCCCTGCCCTGCACGCCTCTGCCCCTCTCGCCCTGCCCGGTGCTTCTGGTGGAGTGTGGCCAGCGGGAGGTTGGAGGGAAAAAGCCGTCAAAGACACGTGGACCAGGTTAACCACCTCTGCATCCCTCAGGAAGAGGCACTTACCTCTATCACTCCATTTACCTGGCGGTATGGTGATTACTTATCAATTTCTCCCACAAGACTCTCAAACAGAGGCTTCGAGCTTGGCCCAGAGGATTTTTTTAGTTTAATTTAAAATTTGAAGCACTTGGGAGTATACATTTGTCAAAACTGTACACACAAAATGTATACATTTTGTTATTATATATAAATGATATGACAATATAGATTTTTTTTAAAGTCATAGTATATATATACTTTAAAAATTGGGGTATTTTCACATATTCCACAAACTCTTGAATAATCAGAAGACTGGAAACCACAGGGCTATATGCTCAAGTTGGCACAGACTGGCACAGACTGGTTGAGTTGGCCTGCAGCCCCCTGACCTCTGGCCGGGTCTGAGGTCCCCAGGAGAGTTCGGAAGCAGGGCTGAGCATGCGCAGATGAGATCGGAGACGCTCCGGGGACAGGCACGTCCACGGGCAAACACGGCGTTCAGTCCCATCAGCTGATGCTTCCCAGATCTGTGTCTCCAACTCTAATTTCTCACCTATGCTTCAGACTCTTATCCCACTATTTGACAGATATTCATTTGGATATCACAGAAATACCTGTAACTCCACATATTCAAATGGGTCATCATCTCTACCAGCCCTACCCGCAAACTTGCTCCCTTTTCTGCATTTCCTCTCAAGACTTCCACTTCCCACTCGACTGCCCCCGGCAGTCTTCGTCAACCCTCCTCCCTACCTCATTTCCCCCCGTGCATCCGGACACCACGTCCGGGTCGGATTCCCACGAGATCTTAGAAACCATCCACCCCTCTCCTCCCGCAAGGCTGCGGCCTAGCTCAGGCCACTGCATTAGCTCCTGACAGGCATTGCGTTTCTGGTCTTGCCTGATTTACTTTTAAGCCACAACCCGAATAGTCTTCGAAAGCCTCCTGCTTCCCCTCCCACGTCTCCCTACTCATTCACTGAGCTGGGCTGGTGCTGTCCCTGCCCTCATGGGCTCAGTGTGAATGCCGAATGTCTGGACACAGTGTCCGAGGTTTCGCCCTGCCTTGGAATCCCCCAGGTGCTCATTCAGCAAGCACCCCACTTCTCCCGTTGTTGCGCTTGGAAGCTCGATCAAGCTAGGTTTCATTCTTGTGAAGAAAGCTTCTGATTTTGAGTCACATCACTAACTTAAGGAAAAGTATCTGAAAATAAAGCAAAGGAACCTTCTGTAAATGTCGCCGTCTCACCTTAGGCTCTTTTAAGTAACAGTGCATGGCCTGGGTGACATCCGCAGCGTGGACTGCGTTGTGGTAAGGGTTTTGACTGTGGTAATCTTCTTGAATCATAACTGCAGCAAAGAAAAAAGACCCTAGATTTAAATATAAATGGGAGGCATGTATAAATAAATACAAAAATTGTGATGATTACAAGTTCTCCACTTACACTTTTCATGTGGCTACGAGCTAACTGTTCAGATTGAGATGATAATCACCTCATAATTCACATGTATACCTAGAGAATGTCATTTTACCTTATAACTTGTTTGTAACTTTCATGAGAAAGTATTCATGTCAAAAGTATAATGTATTTTAATTTTCTTTTGCCTTTTAAAATGTGACTACCATTTTGTAAAACTCCTGACTCTCTTTAATTAAAAAAAATTTTTAAGTGGATTTATTAAACTGAGACAAAAAGAGTCTCTCAGTTTAATAAAAAGCAGTATAACAAATATTTATTTTACCATGTACTTTTCCAGGTAGTGCTAGAAATGCATCAGTGAACAAAAATCTTTATGATGCTAAAACAGTCTAAGTATCGGGGTGTATAAAAATGATCCTATGAGTGTAACATCAGTGAGGTGAGCTTTGGATCTGCAATTCGCTTTTCAGCAGCAGGATGGATCGTCCGTTAATCCTGCCTTCTCTGCTCAGTGTGTGTTAAGCTATCACGGAAAAGGGGACCAGGGTTGGAGGTGGCCCTCTCCCTGCTGCCATCAGACCGGCACCAGCACCTAAAACCGAGTGACTTCCAAGTAAAGCGGGCCACCCCCAAGGTGGTGAACTACGACCCACTGGTGAGGAGGAAAAAGCATTTGAATTCTGTATTTACTTTGATCGTATCATTTAAAATAGTCTTTTTGTATGCGTTTTATGGTTTATATATTAGTACAATATCACAGGCATACAAATTATAAATAAATGTGCATCAAAATTTTCTCAAAAGTGCTAGGTAATAAATTTACCTTAGTTTGGTACTTAAGAGGAAAGAAAATATTATTTTCTTCTTTTGAAGAAAGAATCCTCATGCTACTAATTTTTTTCTAACATATTTCTTTGTATTCAGTGAAAAACTTCAACGTCTTTCTTAGCAGAGCAGTCTTAAGTAAATATTACCATGTACATTTAAACATATTTGAAATAATTTTAACATTTCCTGTGAAAATAAGAGACCTAAGTGCAACATACCCAATCTTTTAAAGTTTTAGCCTTCGAAAATGTAGAAAAGGACAGAGACTATGTCGTACTTGTCAGAAAGCTGTGGCCGGTTCTAGAAACTGAGTGCAAAACTGTCCCAGCTCTCCCCAAGGCCTCCCGTGGCTTTGAGCCCCCGCAGCTCCCCTGCCAGGAGGGGCAGTTTATCTCCACCTGACTCACTATGGCCACCAGGACAAGGCGGGCATGAGCGCCGGCCAGAGCTAACCCAGGTGCCAGGGGCCTGGGCATGCTGGCGCTCTCAGAAGCTGGCCACTGCTCTTTGAACGAGCTCAGCTTGTTGTAAAATACATACATATTTCTTTTGTTTGTTTTTAGTGTGAATCTACCATGGTGCCTAACTCCCCTGTCTCCTTGTCATCTACTAAGAGACCATGTAGGCTTGAGCCAGGTCAGGCCCTGTGTTCCAGATGAGGTTCCAGCTGAGGCCTGCAAAGCCACCGTGCAGCTCACCTACTGTCAACTGCAGTGCATAAATGGGCTGAGCCAGACCAGAAGCAGCATTCAACAACCCCACAGACTCAGGAGCTAAATAAATGCATGTCGTTTTAGGTCGCTAAATTTGGGGTGGTTTGTTTAAGAGCAATAGCTAACTGATAAACAATTTTTTAAAGTTCCTGTATAAATCTTATTATTATTAAATGGGTTAAAGTCACTTACCTAAAAATCTACGAAGTTTCATCATATCTAAATGGAAGTACTCAATTAATCCATGAAGACTAAATAAATGAAAGGTTAAACTTACTAGACTATTTCCTAAAAAAAAAA